AGGCTTAGGAGGAGAAGGCCCTCTGGGAGGTGGATTGATTCGGTGTCTGGGGAAATCAGGATGAGTGTGTCAGAGACAATGAGATTGGCACAGGACAGAGCAGAGTTTAGAGCTGTTGTACATAGGGTCGCTATGAGTTGCAAGCGACTTGACGGCACATAACAACAACAACATGCCATTTCATTGTCTTCTAGCTCACATGGTTTCTGCTGAGAAATAAGAATTTAATCTACTTGTTTCCCCTTTGTAGGTGATTCTATTTTTCTCACCTTGAATTTAGTTTATTATTCTTTTAATTTGGAGAATTTGACTATAGTATGTCTTGATGTTTTTCTTGGCTCTAGTCTACTTAATGTTTGCTGAGCTTCTTGAATGTAGATTTCTCCATTCTTCATAATACCTGGAAAGTTTTCTTCTAGTACCTCTTCCATAATTTTCTTTGTGACTTCCCTGGCCCTCTTGTGTTCTGAAATTCCAATCATACATATATTGTTCCTTTTTATGTCATCCGCTTTATTCATTTTCTTTATGTCTCGTCTCTGATTTTACTTCTAGTATGATGCCATTGAGGCTTTTGTCTTCCAGCTTACTGACTCTCTGTTCCATCTTTTCTATTCCCCCCCACCACCAGTAAGATGGATACTTCTGCCATTTTGGTCTCAATATTCTGGATTGCATTTTCATGCATTTCTGTTATTTCCAGTACCGAGCTGACTGTATCTTCTCTGTCTTGTGATGATTTTTTAAGTTCTTGTACCTCTTGATCTATAGTTTCATTTCTTTCTTCCATCTTTTGCATTTCTTTCTGTAGTTGTTCAAGTTGCTCCTCATTGATATATTCTGGTTCCCTGTCTCCAGAATATTCATTTTCTTAATGCCTTCCACTGTTTCTTCTGTCATTTTAACCTTCTTCCGTAGCTGTAGTTCAAATACCTCTATATCAATATATTTCTTCTGTGTCTGGGGTGTTCACTGTGTGTGCTTTTTTAGGAGAAAGATTATTTTGGTTTTTTATGCAGCTTGCTACTTTCTTGACATTCTTCTTGTTAGATGCAATCATGTGACTTTCGACTCATAGCAACCCTGTGTACAACAGCTGTGAACCCTGCCCTATCCTGAACCAGTCTCACTGATTCTAACACACCTACTCCCATTGCCCCAGTTGTGACTCCTTTCTTGGTAGATTTAGGCTGTTATAAGCATGTAATGTTCCAGGGAGGGTGATGGTCTGTGAAGGACCTGATTATTGGTGCAGCCCTTTAGGCCCAAAGCAGGGTGGGCATTGTTCTCCACAAACCACTGCTGGTCCACGCGATTCTCCTTGGCTTAAGAAATCCCAATCAGGAAAGTTCAAGGGCAGAATCAGCAAATCTATAGATGTTTTTTAAATTCTGATGGACTAGACTCAAGGTTGTATTTTGGTTCTTGTTTAATTTCTTTTTCAACTTCAGTTTGAACTTGTACATGAATGATTGATGATCTGTTCCATATTCAGCCCCGGGCTTTTTTTTTGACTGCTGATACTGAGCTTTTCCATTGACTTTGCTCTCAGGTGTAGTCAGTCTTATTCTTGTGTAGTTCATCAGATGAAATCCATGTGTATGGTCGCCATTTATGTTTTTTATAGAGATATTTGCAATGAATAAATCATTCATTATATGAAATTCTGTAATTCGAGCTCCAGCCTCATTTCTATCACCAAGGCAATGTTTTTCAACTACCAGTTTTTCTTCTTTGTTTCTAACTTTTTCATTCCAGTCACCAGTTACTATTAATGCATCTTGATTCTATGTTCAATCTATTCCAGACTCTAAAAGTTGATAGAAATCTTCTATTTCATCATCTTTGGCTTTATTCATTGGTACGTATATTTGAATAATAGTTATATTAGCAGATCTTCCTAGTATGCATATGGATAGTGTCCTGTCACTCACAACCTTGAACTGTTTGACTATAAATGCAATTCCAGTCTTCTTCAACGTATCATCCTCAGCATAATACATTATATGATATAATACATTATCTGATTCAAAGTGGCTAGTCCAGTCTGTCTCAGCTCACTAATGCCTCGGCTATCAATCCAGGAACTCTCAACCACATGCCTCACCCTCCAGAACGGTGTATGCATAAGGCCCTTTTTCATGGGAGGCAGCCATAGACTTTGTCAATGTGTCAGAAGCCTAAGCTCCTCCTTCACTTTTGGGCCCTCTGCACTGGCCCAGCCTCTCATTTCAGAGCCTGTGGTAGGCTCACATCAGGTGGCAGATCAGCCAGGGAGAAGGCTGAAGGCCTCCTTTCCAAAAGAGATGTCCTGTCTTCAGGGTTTCTGGTGCCTGGAAACAGCCGTCATCTTCTAGTGGACGAGCCTGTAGGAAGGAGCAAGTTGGAGGAGGGTGGTGACTACAAGGCCTCTGGGGCTGTTGAAAGAATACGGAAGGGTCCTTGGAGTCCTAGGTATAGTTCCCATGACTTCTAGCTTTTGGGACATAACGCTTCCCTTATGGGCCTCAGTCTTCCCTTCTGTGAAATGGAGGGGCAAGGCCACTAGTTTCCTGATGCAGCCCTTTGTGACTCTTATTTCCTGTCCTAGGCCCTGGGTAGGTGACCAGCCCTTTCTTGCTGGTCCTTTTCTCCCTGGTTCCCCAAGGTTCTGCCCATCCCCTACCAATCTGTGAGCCTCCCAGGAACCTTGACCTCCTCTGAAACCACTCTCCCACTCCTCCACCCACCCCCGCCCCCGGAAGCTCTGGGTCCTGCTGAGTGTCCATGGCCCTGGGAAGAGCAGCCAGTGTGAGAGAGTGAAGAATGTCTTCTAAGGGAGACCCCTCCAGAGAACACCCCCAGAAAGAGACCCTCGAAGCACCGGTGCTGCGGCCTCCCGTAGAGCCCTTGGACGACCTGGCCCTGCAGGAGCTCTCCCTTGAGGAAGCCTACCCTGAGGCGGCTCCCACCATGCACACTCTCTGTGTGGACCACCTGAACCCTCAGTTCTCTGTGCCTGTGCTCACCTGCCTGCTGCGAGACACCCTAGAGCGGCTCGAAGTACCTGTGGCACGGGAGCACATCCAGGTGGTGAGGCAGCCAGGGAAGGCCTATGCGGTAGTTCAGGTGTCCACCCCCAGGGCCACCCTGGCTTCACTCCCCTCACGCCTGCAGAGGGCCTCAGAGGAGCACCTGATCCTTAAGGAGCTGGCAGCCCGAGGGAAGGAGCTAGTGTTGAGTGAGGGCTGTAAGCCCTCCCAGCACAGAGAGGTAAGTGGGAAGTCCCCAGGCCCATGAGACCCCAGGCCTTACTCGGGAGAGGAGGCCTGAGAGCAGATGGTCTGTGCAGGGCAGGGTGGAGAGGAGCATGTGTTGGAGGAGTTGGACCCTCCTCTGTGAAGTTGGGGACTGTATGAAAGTGACCATGAGCTGAAGCTGGCAGGATGGGCATCCAGCCACGAGGTTGCTGGATCTCCAGTTTTGAAGCACATGGGCAGTGGTGCTTCTTATGAAAGGCTAGAGTGGGACTCATCCCTGGGTCCCTTCACGTTCCCTCCCCAGACCTCGGCACACAGAGGTCCTGATTATCTCCTTGGCCCTCCTCACAAGTCATTCTGTTGACAAGCACACTTCCCTGCCCCAGGCAGTAAAGCAGGTGGCACCTGTTCTCACAGGGCTGTGAGCAGGGTCAGCCAATTTATGAAGCTGTCCTGGCACTGTCCGAAGCTGGGGAAGACCAGCAGTTGAGGACACGGCCTTGAGTATGCTCACCATGTTCAGAGTCTCCAAACACGAAAGTCCACGGGAGCTCAGGAGGTGGCAGGGAAGGGAGAGAATCAAGAGGACACGTCAGGATATGCAGGGGGAGGGGGATTAGTCACGGAGCTATATGATTTGATGGGTGAGGGAAATTGGAAGAATCTATTCTCCAAAACAATGTATTTGAATTTTATAAATAAACTAGTATATTAAAAAGGTCATGTCAGCAGTCCAGAATGTGATGGGCAAGGTTTTCAGGGAGATTAGGAAGGGGTGGGGTCTATGTTGTTAGGTACCGTCAGGTCGAGTATAACCCACAGCAACCGTATGAACAACTGGTCTGAACCCTGCCCTCCCTTACCGTCCTCATCATCTCTGACACACCTGAGCCCATTGCTCCAGTCACTGTGTCAATCTGCCTGGCTGAGGGTCTTCCTCTCCTTCACTGTCCCTCCATCTTTCCAAGTATCATGTCCTTCTCCAAGGAGTAGCCTCTCCTAGCAACATGCCCAAAGTATGTGAGAGGAAGCTTTGTCCTCTGCCTCCAAGGAGCAGTCTGGCTGCACTCTGCCCACTGGGCACTGTTAATAAGGCACCTCCTGGGATGACCCTGTCCTAGCCTTAGAGGTCTTTCTATAACCCACGAGGAAAAATATGGGTATACGGGTAGTCAGGCCCACACCCAGGAAGTTCCATGGTCACCCAGCCCCCAGAGAACCCACCAGGCAGGGGAAATTGTGAACCCTTGACTTAGCTGGCGCCTTAGGTCTCTCTATGATGACCAGCCTGGAATGTGGGGGCTCCAGCAGTGTGGCCTTCCTCACATGACTCTTGCCTTGCCCCTCAGCACCTCCTGATTCTCCCTCCCGCAGGAAGACGGTGGCCTGAGCCCGGGCAGCCTGAGCCCAGGCCCCAGCCCCCACGCCAGCCCGGAATGCAGTGGGAGGTCTTTGGTTCCAGTTGAACAGACTCAGCCCAAACAGTGCTGGAACCCACAGAGGCCGCGGGAATGGCACCACCGGCCGAGCGGTGTGCGCTCAGACAGTGCCATCGCGCACCAGGAGATTCTGGGCCAAGAGCGACTCTTCCAGGGCGCCTTCCTGGGCAGCGAGACGCGCAACGTGGAGTTCAAGCGCGGCGGTGGGGAGTACTTGAATCTGGCGTTCAAGCACCACCTACGGCGCTACGTGTGCGCCTTCCTCAACAGCGAGGGCGGCAGCCTATTCGTGGGCATCGAGGACAGCGGCCTGGTGCAGGGCATCCGCTGCAGTCACCACGACGAGGACCGTGTGCGCCTGCTGGTGGACGCCATCTTGCAGGGGTTCAAGCCCCAGGTCTTCCCAGACGCCTACACCCTCACTTTCATCCCTGTGATCAGTACCTCTGCCACCAGCGTCCCCCGTAAGGTGAGCCAGCAGGGCAGCACGATTTCTAGGTCTCGATTTTATCATCTGGCATCGTTTAATCATCTCTACAAGGTCGAGGAGGGTGGCAAAGGGGAGGTGAGAGAAGACAGGCCAGAGGGTAAAGGACACCCTGCCCCTGCGCTACCAGCATCCCTAAGGAGCCAGTGAGCAGCGCGCCAGTCACGTAGGTGGGATTCTGGGCTGCAGCTGTCCAGTATTGTCCTAAGCAGGTGATCCGTCTGTGTGTGCACCCGCCGAAGGCCCAGAGTGAGCCGCAGCTCTATGAAACCGACATGGGGGAGGTGTTTCTGCGGCGTGATGGGAGCATCCAGGGCCCGCTGACCAGTAGAGCCATCCAGGAGTGGTGCAGGCAGGTAACGAGGCCTGGAAGCCGCAGACCCCTTCAACAGCTGGCTGAGCAGCCCTTGGCAAGCTAGTTTCTCTCGGTCCTGAATTAATCCCATCTGTCCACTGCCCCGTGCCTGAGGACGAGGGCAACCAGAACTCCCAGGCATCGACATCCCGCCTTCCATAGCGCCTGGGATACGTTTCTCATGGGCTCACAGCTAAGGCACTCAATCCCTGGGTGGCTGGGAGAGCTGGGAGGTAGGACTATTTTGAAGTTATAACAAAGCTGAGGGACTGAGTGCTACTCCTTTAACGGAGGAGTGTGAAAGGGGTAACGGGTCCAAAAAGGCAATGTCAGGTGGTGGCCCAGGTGACGGATAACAGGGAGTATGGCGGAAAGGGCCTGAATGCAGCGTAGCCAAGCTGTCTCTGCTGCTGCTACTTGTGAGGCTGCAGAGGACCAGTCCAGTCCAGGGTCCAGGGTGCTGGTGTGACCTCACTTAGGCAGCCTCCCCTAAGACCCCAGAGCCAGCTTGTTCAGAGGTGGCAGCATGGCCGAGTGACCTGGCTTCCCACTTCACAGGGCCAGCGTGCTGCCAGTGGCTGTGAGTGAAGCCCATCACGCTCCAGTGGTTGGGTGGCCAGGTCTGAGCGGTCAGCTCAAACATCTGCTTCTCCCATGTCCTTTCAGAAGTGGATGGCAGAACAGCACAAGCTGGAGGAGCAGGTGAAGGCATTGACGCTGGAAAGGGAACAGCTCCAGCAGCAGCTGAAGCAGCACTGGCTGGTGTCTTGCACCTGCTGTGTCCTCTGAGGCACCCAGAGCCAGAGCAGGAGGGGCTGGTGCTCCAAACAGGAAAGAGACAGCATTTCCTGCTGCGTCTGTCAGAGTGCTGTCAGCAGACTGGGCTGGTCAGGGAGGCTGCTGTGCAGAGGGCCCGAGAGCCACTCTCCCCTCCTCCAGTCCTGCACACAGGTGCTTGAACCAGCCTCCCAGGCCTTAAGCTCTGTGCAGACCTGGGTCTGGGCAGCTCAGAAATTGCTCTAAGAGCATGATCCCCATGGAGACTGCTGTCAGGAAGAGCCTGACCAGAGCTCCCCCAAGACTGAGCTGGAAGGGTAAGGGACTGCTCCCCTTCTGAAATGCTGGTCTGAATCCATTTGGGATCTAGAACTCCAATTGGCCTGATGCTGCTAGGAAGAAATGTGGCACCTTCTGCAGAAAGGGAGGTACATTCAGTAACCGATGGCTTGTGGGGATTTGAGATTGTCAAAGCTCCTTAATAAACTGCATGTACCTGGATCAGAGTGCTTCTTCCTAGGACATGAGCCTGTCAGAGACAGCTGAGTCACCAGCCCTGTGTCAGTGTGCCTGTGTGACGGCACCACCAACCCTGGCTCTGACCACAGAGTGATCAGGCTCCAGTTCAGTTCTGTCTTGAAGACTAGGTGCCTTGGGCCCAATTGCTGTAATGCTTTGCTTCCGTTTAATCACCTGTAAGGATAATGTCCAACTCAGGGGTGGCAGATGCTGAGAAAACAGCAGGGAGAGTGCCTCACTGGAGAGGATTCCTGACCTGGACTTTCCTGTCTCCACCAGCACAGCTGGAGACACAAGTAAAACCAATGTCCAGCCATGCCACACTGGTGCTGAGCTCCCCCCACAAAATATCCCCACTTCAGCAGGCCCAAAGCCAAATAATGCCCGTCACAAGCCTCCACAGCTTGGCTTGCCCAACTCAGCACCTCAGCTGGTCCCCATGTCTCCACTCCAGCCACTGGTCACTTTGTCTCTGGAGCTCATGTCTCAGGGCCTTTGCACTGGCTGCTCCATCGCCCATTGCCTGCCATCAGTTATTTGCTATCTTTTTTTAAAAATGTATATATACATGAGGTGCATTGATTCAGTGACTGGGATAATCGGGATGGGAATGTCAGAGACAGTGTGATTGGCACAAGACAGCAGAGTTTAGGGCTGTTGTACATAGGGTCGCTATGAGTCACAAGCGACTCGAAGGCACATAACAACATATATATATATGTGTGTGTTTTTTAATTATTCTCCATCCTATCTTCAGGTTGATGTTCAACTTTCCTATCCCAACGTCAGCACTTCCTTGGTCACTCACACCAGTCACGGGGACCAAGTGAACATAAATCTCACCCCAGATTATCAAGCTTTCACCCCACTGAGCCTTTCTGAGCACCGTTCATGTGCTTCCAATTTCTCAAATAACCTTTGAAAAACCTGGTTCAACTCTATGGTTGGTGACACTCACCTCAGTGTCATAGTTCACTCATCTTCTCTAGACAACTTGGGGCTTGCCAGGATCACATCGGCGAGGGCTTTATTTCCAAGACTCTGGTGTGCTATTTGTTCCCCACTAAGGAGAGGGCCTCTGAGCACTGCTGCTTCACTGAGTGGCAGCCTACATGGTAGGACTGATGATTTTTGCCAGGCGCATAAACCACCTGGGGTCCCTTAGCAGAAGGGACTGGTCAGCACAGCTGTGAGCTGTTGTTAGATGCCACTGTGTCAACAACAACCCAGTGACCTTATGAACAGAATCTGCACCCTGCCCCGCCCTCCTCTCAGGTTGCCTGAGCCCGATGTTAATCCCCCTTGTTGAGGTTCTTCCCCTGCTCCCCCCACTTTGCCCAGCATTGTGTGAATGCTCCCAAAGGCCAGGAACCAACACTACAGCCAGCACAGATTTCAGACCAACCACATGCCCTCTCTAGGGGGACTACAGGCCTAAAGTGGCACATCATGGTGCTGTGGAGGTTAGGAGTCTCTGTTAAGTGATTGAAGACTGCGATCAGGAGGCTCATCTGGCAAATCCGCCACTAAATTGAAAAATTCTGTAGAACTGAAGATAATTTAAAAACATTAGAAATGGAGACTGGACCAAGGGCGACCTCTTCCCCCCACCCTTGGTGTATACCATCGAGTTGGACCCAAATGACACAGGAGATTGCCCCTCCTTTACCAGCAGAGCTTCTGGTGGACTTGAACAGTGCACCATTGGGACTACAGCATGGCTTCTTGCCATTAGACCACCAGAGCTCCCTGAAAGTGGACCATGGCAGCTGAATGGCCCTTATCAGGATGCCGGGGACACCAGCTTGACTGTAGCCTTGGGCTAGTTAATAGGTCTCTCCAGTATAGAAGAAAATGGGAAGATGTATCATTCCTCCTCGGTCCCTCTTTCATTGCCATTAAGCCAGAACTGACTCACAGCTGACCGTCCCTCAGTAGATTTTTGGAGGTTGTAAATCACATGGGAGGAACGTGCCCGTCTTTCCCCTGCAGAGCCACTGTTGGATTTGAACCAGCTACCTTTATGTTAGCCGCACAACTCACTATAAACTACACTCGTCACTCGTGTAGACTCAACGTACTAAAGGCTGTTGAACATCAACCATGTTAGGCATGAGGTAAACAGTTCCTCAGTCCTTAGTCATAAAAAACCTCCAAACTCATTTAGTTGGAATCCTCCAGTGGGAGTTTGCAAGGCTGTAAATCACGAGAGATTGCTTGTCTTTCTCCAGATGAGCCCCAAGTGGACGTGAATGACCAGTAAGGCAGCGCCCTCTGAGGCAGCAGCACAGCTCACTAAAAAGCTCGGGTTCAAGGTGTTTATAGGACTAGGTTCCATGCTGTACCAGTTAGTCCCCTCCCTCCTTCAGTCTCCAGGGAGTGGGAAGTGCAGTCCAGCTGTGGAACTCCAGCCTGAGATCTGGGCTCTACTGTGGGCAGAATTGTTTGCAGAGGAAGCTGCTTGACCCCAAGTGTGTTCAGTGGCTACAGCTGGAATGGGTACGAGTGTTACCACTACCCACAGAGGACAAGTTCAATGGCACTAACTTCAGTTTGGAGGGGAAAAAAGTCAAGGACAGTGACCTTAAGCTGCCTGGAAGGCCAGGGGTAGAGATGAACCGTGGTGTAAACTTCTCAGCTGGCAAGGGAAATTCTAGCCCATGGTTGCCTGGCTACAACGGCCGTTCAGGTCCAGTGCTGGGCAAAGGAAAGGCACCATAAAATACTAAGTGTCCATTCCTCCCCTCTCAAGGAGCATACCAAACAGCCACGGCTTTCCATCTCTCGCATTGCTGAAAACCTATTTGAAGGCTTCCGGGGAGGAATCCTGGTTCTTGTTCGAAAGGCTCTGCTCAGTTTCTAAGCAAAGCATGGCTCACCTTCAAATGCGGGCTACTCACCAGAGGCCAGCCTGGCACTGAGATCAGATGAGCACACAGCGCACCCCATGTTAAGCTCCCAGGTCTCCATCTGTCCGGTGGCATAAAGAGAATGAAAGCAAGCCAGGCCTCTTGTTCACTTTATTTATTTAAGTTCGAGAGTATACATGAGTCCAGCCAGAACAGAGCAGGCATACGGCTGGGCCTGTCGCTGTGTCAAGCTAAGAAAATAGCTTTTCATATTGCATTTCAGCTGCAGTAACACCATTCTGGAAGGAATCCACCCCGAGTCAAAGCTGTTTAGAGAAGGGCTGGAGAGGCAGTTTCCCAAAGATTCTTGGTTCTTTTTAAAAGCAACCCCTTGATGCAAGGAGTGGTTCCCAGTCCCAGAAGAGGAAGCGTGACTAGAGGTGGGGGCTGGGCTGGGTGTTAAAGTTCACTTCAGAGAGGAATCCACTTGCCACGTCTCAAGGAACATCAAAGTGACTGTCCCCCTTGGACAAGAACCAGCCCCAGCTGGTAGCAAGATCCCCACAGTTCAGGGCGGTCCAAGATTCTGAGTCTGGGTTTGCTGCTCCTGGTCCAAGTCACACCCTCCAGTCACCAGCACCAAAGTGTCCTAAGAACTAGCTCCGCAATCTCTCCATACTGAAGTCCACGTGGCACTGCGTCATGCCCAGGCATCCAAGAAAATGCACTCAAATCCACAGTGACGGGAAGGAGTTGGAGACCCAGCATGGTCGAGGGGCGCCCCACCAGCCTGTCCGTCATTAGCTCCCTCCAGTCCTGCCGCCACTCTTCCCAGAAAAGCAAGGCCGGCACCCGGGTCAGCACCAAGCAGGAGTCAGCACATGTGATGGACGGGTGAGTAACAAAGTTTTCCAAATACTTTTTCCCCATAATAAAATAATTTTAATAAAAACATAATTTAAAGTAAGTGTCCAAAGCTGAGTGTAAAATCAAAGTTGTAAACGCTATCAAAGTTTGATGGTTCTTTGAAAGAAACATCCTGTTTAAAAAAAGAAAATAAACACAAACTTTTAGCACTTTATGTGAGGTCTGTGAGGTAGAAGGTCCAGGCTTCTGCCGGGTAAACCAGCCGCTTTAGCTGAAGACCAGCAGGAGGGGCCTGGTGTGAGGAAACAGACCCAGAGCTGTGAGTTCCCACAGCTTGCATCTGCAGGCCCTCCTCCCCTCGAGCCTCCACCTGATGCAGCATTAGATCTCCCAGCACCAGCCTCCCAGCAGGGCTGCCAGCAGGGACTTCTCTACTTGGTAAGGCAGTTAGGATTCCACAATCACATTTGGCCTCTTTACTTTTATCTTTATATTCTTGCCTAGAAGGTGGAATATTTGCACTAGCAGACTATCTGGTCAAGGGATTAATGAGTTCATCTGTGTGCCATGCTCACTTGGCACACGAGTAAGCAGCCAGCGCTCTCCTGATCCTAACCTCCTTCTCATGCCTGCTCACGTACTTGAGGTTATCCCAGGCCAAGTGGTCAACCACTCAAGGCAAATGGGAAAACACGAAGATCATCACGTGATCATGCAGATCCGACCCCATCAGTAAGAGGACTACAGGTGTGCGGGGTACAGGGAGGCTGATCTACC